TGAAAAGCAAACTTTTTTCTTCCTCATTTTACAGTCTTCGTTTGCAAACAATACAGCTTAACCAGCATGATTAAGAACTTACTGAGCCAGCCTGACAGATATTTAGTAACCTGGTTAGTGATGTTAGAAAACTTTCCTATGTACTTCTGAATACTAGTGCTAGGGGCCTACCAGATTGTGAACCTTATTTCATCTCATAAGTTAACCTGCTGATTTATTCTTGATTTTAATTGCCTTTATTTTGCACGTATGTATTTCAAAGCACATTCAGTTAATGTGAGTTGGCATTTAAGGAGCATCTTTTTATCTTAAAATCATGATACAATACTTGGTGAAGTCTTCAGCCTTGCTGTTCCCTAGATTGCAGTGCAACACTGTCTGTTTCTGATAGATAGGAAAAGCTTTTAAGGTAAATTCTCAAAACTGAGAGCTGGTAAATGTTCCTGGGGATAAATTTTCACGTGTATGATTTGTGTCCTTTTTCTTTATCATTTGAAAGCTGTATCAGTCAATACTTACCCATGGTTGTACTGAATGGCAGTGTTGTCCCCCAGGAATGCTGTTGGAATAACTCATTTGTGCAGCAGTTATTTTGCTTGTGTACATGGCTCATCACTCAGTGACACTCCGTGGTGCTGGAGTACCTCAGACATGAACAGTGATGCCCAGTTTACTAATGATCTCCTCTTTCTGCCATGCCCAAAGGTGAAGCTGTGTTTGCACGCTGCCTGTCTTCCCTCAAGGATGAGAGAGTGCAGGCCAGTAAGGTGCTGGCAGGGCCCAGAGTGACCCAGTTCAGTGGGAACAAGGAGGCCTTCCTGGAGGACATCCGCAAGGTGAGTCCTGCTGCAGGGTCCGAGCAGGTTTGGGGTGCTCTGAGCCCTGGGGAGCAGATCTTGGGTTCATTCTTCATGAGAACTGGTTCCTGCTTTCAGCACTGGCCATTGTCTCATGATGTCCACAAAGCGTAATGTGACCCTTTCCTAACCAAAGGAGGGTTAGGAAGGACCCAGAAGCAAATCAACTCTAAACCACAATGGGCAGAGACGGCTGCATGAGGCACAGAGATCATAAATCATGCACAGGAGCTTGTCCCCCCCTCAATACTCCTGCCTTTGCCTGGGTATTGATCTCTTGATCTCTGTCTGTTGAAACCAGACTTTCCAAGGAGAAAGGATATTTTGTTTTTCACATTACTGGAATGTTGCTACTGTACTCATCCCTGTTGAGATGTGGACTGAACAGAGCACATAGACCATGAAGTTTGTTGTTCAACTTTGTGAGACTTCTCTTGGAACGTGAATTCCATTTTTTTTTTTCAGGCCCTGTATGCTTCCAAGATTATCTCGTATGCTCAAGGCTTCATGCTGCTGAGACAAGCAGCCAAGGAATTTGGGTGGACACTGAATTATGGTGGTATTGCACTAATGTGGAGGGGAGGCTGCATCATCAGAAGGTAATTGAGATGAGGAGGTAACCTGGCTGCCGAGGGGGGAAGAGCAGGCAGTTTAGTTTGAGGGGCTTAGCTGACAAGCCTAGAGATTTCCTTGGAAAATCCATGGAGCTACTCTGCTGGTAAGATTCTGAGAGGCTGTAGACAACACCAAAGGTTACTAGATGAGCTCACTATTCTGGTGGCTTAACTGCTGAAAATTTATTTGGTCTTTGTCATGTTTGGAATCTGAATTTGGCTGAGTCAAGTTTTGGCACTGTAAGTTTTGGATTCTGGGCCTTTGTTGGAAGCTGTAACATTTATTCCTGGCTAACTTTTGCCTAGTGTGTTCCTGGGAAAAATCAAAGATGCTTTTGATCGAAACCCTGAACTCCAGAATTTGCTGTTGGATGATTTCTTTAAGAGAGCTGTAGAAAACTGTCAGGTAAGTTCCAAGGAAAGGAGAGCATAAAAACAATTTACAGCCAGGACTCTCATGGTTTTCTTTTCCCTTTGATACTGACTAAGCTGTGATTGGAAACCGAAGGTTCTCATTTTACTGTTACAGAAGAGCCTTAGGCAGAAATTCAGCAATTCAAAAGGACCATAATATGAGGAGAAAAGGCCTGGCCTGTGTGAACATTCTCATCACTGCCCTGTGTCTTGTGCCTACTGTGCATCTGGATTTCAGCTGAGCAGACCATAAAGCTCTGTTCCAGTACCATTGTTTGCAGTAGCCCCAGAACAACAGTTCCAGACCCACCCATTCTTTAGGCCTGTGTCTGTGCAAACAGTGTCCTGATTTGGATGGAGCTGATAGGCAGAATTAAAACCACATTATCTGGCCAAAAAAGAAGTATCGTATTATCATAAGTAGTTCTTGTAACTGAATCTGAATATTCCATGCAAATTACGAGACCAGATAAAGAGTTGAACTGAGGATTATCCACATTCTGAATTATCAGTGCTGTCCTCTTATGCCCTTGGGTGAGCTTTGTTCTGTGCTTGGTGAGAGGTCCTGGAAGTGCCTCAGAGCTCAGAACATTCCCCTCTCCCTGCTGAGTTCAGGCTTTTGAGACGCTCTCACCATGTTTATGTGAAAGAACGGCATCCTTGCTTGAGGCTGTGGTTTGACTGCCTGTCTCAACTGTTCTCATCCTGCTGTTAACTCCGTCTTACTTGCCATTATTTTGGATCAACCTCGTTTATATAAAATCAGGAATCTGTTGCTGTATTTGCTCAGATTTGGCTATTAGATCTCATAGAAGGTGAAATAGCACACACAGTTGTACTGGAGCAGTTCATGTGCCTGCAGTAGCTCTGAGTTTTCCTTTGCCCCCCTTTTCCTCTTTCCAGGAGTCCTGGCGCCGTGTGATCAGTACTGGAGTGCAGATTGGAATCCCTATGCCCTGCTTCACGACAGCACTTTCTTTTTATGATGGATACAGGCATGAGATACTGCCAGCTAACCTGATTCAGGTAGGTACTGAAATCTCATCATGCTGTTATTTAAATACTGCTTTAAAGGTCTCAATGGCAATATGTCCTAATCACTCACACTGTAGGTTGCCTAATATATTTCTGTTGTACCTGAAATTCCTGTCAGTAAAACACTTAGAGACAGCTGGATAGAGAACACCGGAGATACTGGTATGGCAGCACCCAGTGTGTGTTTGTATTCCTTCTGTGGACCAAGGGTAATGGTATCTTTGAACCCAAATGGTTTGTTCAGAATTAACTTTGAATGTTTGGATACATGGAAGTGCTTGTTTTTTAGATTGGTACCAAGCAGAAATCCTACTTGTATTTCTGCAGAACTCTTTATTGAATTATTAGATATTAGTAAATTTTTCATTGCAGTGATTTTGCTCATAATGAGAAAATAATTTTGAGTGTTATAATATTTCTGCTATTCCTCATTAGGTAACAGTAGGTGTAACTTCTAGAACTCACATGATATTGACATTTCTGTGTCTGGTTTGTCTGTGTGTTCTCATTCCAGGCTCAGCGTGATTACTTTGGTGCACATACATATGAATTATTATCAAAGCCAGGGGTATTTATCCATACTAACTGGACAGGCCATGGAGGAAATGTGTCCTCTTCTGCTTACAATGTCTAATGGAAACCAAGATACTGTAGATCTCAGATATTTCTTCTAGAATATCACTTTTTACTGTACTCTGCTAGAACTTGTGTTTGGACACTTTTGTAATAACTTGTGGGTGTATTTCACACATATACATGTATCTATATGTATCATATAAGAAAACTAAATAAATTTAGTTATAAATGTGTTGAAGTTTTCTTCCCACTGGTGCTGGCCAAAACTAGGTAAAATGTTTTTGTGCAGTATTTAACAGAATTTATAGTCATGTTAGGTTTATAGTATTGTAGTGCATAAAGTCCTCCAGTTCAGGAATTGCTGAGATGGAGAGTGGCAGACAGCATAGGAACTTACACAAGGTTCCAGGCAGATAAAGGCCCTTCTTTCATTGCCTATTCCTCCCATGGGGCAATTAAAAATACCCAGAGCAGCATGCAAAGTTGGCTCTATTTTGTATCCTCTCCCTGCACTGCTACTGCCAGTCATCTTCAGGACTTCTGAAAGTTTACCTGGGTATCTGAACCTTTTCATCTGTTAAAATTGGTGCTGTGCACACTGATTTTTATATTAATTTTTGGCCATATACATTTCTGCTAGGACAGCTGTTTAGTAACTAGTTGA